TCCTCCTCTTCTCTCTTCTCCGCTTCCTCCTCCTCCTATTTCTCCTCCTCTTCCTCCTCCCTTTGCTCCTCTTCCTGCCCCCTTCCTCCTCCTCCTGCTCCTCCTCCTCCTCCTCCTCCTCCCCTTTTGTCTGTCGGCAACCTGCCTGTAGATAATGGGAGGCAAGGAACTTCGACCCCCTCATGGCCCACCAGCCTGCCAGATCAATTCTAAAGGTCGTATGCCTGCAGTCATTGGCAGCTGCATCCAGGACCTTGTCCAGGAACATGTTTTCGGGATCCTTTCTATGTGACCTCAGTAACTGTTACGAGCACGTCTGTAGAGAACTGGTCTGGTCGAGGATCAAAAAGTCCCAGTTCTCCCTCACAGTATTAGCGGTGATGCTCAACCAGTATGTGTCCAAGAGGTTTTTGAATTTCTCAGGCCTGGCAGTTGAACTCCAATATCCTCACTTCGGGATCGCAGCGGGTTGCTCATTTGCTACCTTCATCGTGCAGGTGTTTCCCTTGCCTCCGCTCAGAGTGTGGCAGAAACGGCACCCGACAATCATTGCGGCGACATTCATCGACGATCTCCATGGAAACAACACCAGCGACAGCCGGCAATAGGTAGTCAATCAGCTAACGGCATCGGCGGCGGATTTGTCCAGCATGATCCAGCACGAGTTGGAGTGCCAAGTCGCCCAGCGTAAGTCTGTGATCGTATCTTCCTGCCCCAGGCTCACGGAAATGTTGAAAACGAGTTTCGGGGATTACGCTGGCAGGGCCCTCTCATCGACGCCTAACTTAGGAGTAGATTTCTTCTGTGGGGCCAAGAGAGCCAAAAAAGCTAAGATGCTAGCGGAGCGTTTTTCGAAGCCCAAGAAATGTGGATCCCGGCTCCGTGCCCTGAAGAAAACTGGAGCCCCTTTGAAGAAGCTCCATGTGTCAGGTCTTCAGGCATCAGGCTTTTCCGGTGCAGAGGTCGTGGGGCTCACTTCCCCGGAGCTCAGTGCAGCACAGACGCATTACATCTCCCTCGTCGGCAGCTCCTGCAAGAGCCGCTCACGCAGTATATCCCTAGCAGTCTTGGGTGACCCACGTTGGAAACAGGGGCTGGGTCCAGCGATGCAGTGGGCCTCGATCGTAAGGAAGTCAGTGAGCAATTGGAGGTTCAGATCTATCCACCCTCTCTCAGAGCTGGGGCGTTCATTCCGTGAAGTCCTTCAGCAGCCTCCTGCCAACTGGGGGGCAGTGAGAGGGCCAGCAGGTGCAGCAATCTTGAGCCTGAAGCGAATCGGTTGGCAATTCTTATCCCCGTTCGAGATAGTCACCGATCTTGGACGCCAATACGCCCTAATCGATACCGCTCCGAAGATGATCCATGAGCTAATGCACGCTGCCTGGAATCGAAGAACGAACAGGTTGGCCGCCGACAAGCTAGGAATCAACCGAT